GTTTCGTTTCAGTGTTATTTTGAAATATATATAGAGAAACTAAACAGTGATTTTACGTATGCCAGCATCATGTTGCCTGTTTACGTAAAATCTTTCCGCCAAATGGGGTCAAAGTTCATGAATTGGTACTTACTAAACGCCCACATAGAGGTGAAACAATAACTGCTGTTATTGAATAACTGCTAAAAATAAGACCATTAACTAAGTCGTTCACGCCATGTTCCGCAGCCTACATAATGAAACAAATACAAAAAGCATGAATGACAAAGTTGATTTCCAGAATAACCATTTTCCCGCCAAAATTTGGTGGTAGATTTTACAGATTTTATGCATTTTTTCATCAATTCTTTGAAGTTTTGACCGAGATAATTATTTGCTTAAATATGTGAAAAATTAATTATATTCAATTTTGTGAAATGTGACAAAAGTTGAGTCAGTACGAAGCTACTTACAAGACTGTATCCGATTGGCTACCCAAGATACCTGACCAATCAGAGAGCAGCTTGTTTATCGGCAGGTATCAAATCCCGCCTTGTAAATATGCCTCGACTCAAATGCAAAAGTTGACTTTGCCGTTCAAAGAGTTAGTTTTGATTGATGTACTTTTAAATTTCCAAGTCAAATTCAATGGCAAAAAAACGTGAATTTCAGAGTGGGCTGTTGATTTAGACCATTTAACATACAAATGCGCATGTGAAAAATTGTTATTGCGCGTATCAAACAATCGGTGTGCATGCGTATCGGATGGAATGAATACTAGTACTAATACCCAGTTTAGTTTATTGATAAATCAAAATCGAATGTATTTATAAACATGTAGCATCAAACAACAGTATATTCTCATTTCTTGATATTTTGTCTGTGAACGAGGATATGTTCGCCATTTCTGGCTTATATTGCGGCGGCGTGTGTTTGAATAAATTAATATATTATGTAAGTGTGCAGACTAAATACCTCGTCTGGAAAGAACGGTGCTATCATCGAAAAAGCCGCGTAGTACAGAAATCTACTGAGACAAAGTCCAGCCAAGAGTACGTTCAACTTTCTTGACATATTTCGCCATCCGATTTCTGGTTCTGCTTCAGATTTTTCTTCATCTTTGTCGGTTTCCATGCCATCGTCATCCAGGTCTTTGTAGAATTCAGAGTCAATATTGTCTGGTTCATCGACTTCGTGTAGTGCGTCACCGTTTTTGACTATGAGCATTTCAACGTCATTGTTCTCACTCGTAGACCCCTCTTCTACCATTCTCCAAATTGTCTATTGTATTGCCTTATCACACGACTGTACCTATTGACCAATCAGAATCCAGGATTTGTAGTGGACTATGGGCCAGTGATGATGATCTTTTCCTCAAATAATTGCACAAACTGAGCCTAATCCTCTGCAAAATAACAACAAGTGAAACTGGTTAGAATTAGTTTAAAGTTTTTGTCGTTGGAAAACGTGGTTAATTTGTTCGGTTTTTGGGGCAGGATACCGAAATCGTAGATCGCCGCATAGAGAACGTGCTCGTTATACGTTGTTTTTCACAAACATTTCAAAACCAAGTATGAAGCCTTGAGGACATTGAAAAACTTTCACTTATTCAACACATTTTATCTATTAGTGTGCTTTCTGTGATACATGAACCGTTTTCAAGGAATTTTTAGGTCACAATTTAGGGTAGATTTTATGCCGTTCTTGGACTTGAAGGATGTATAGTATCCTCGGGGGCGGACATCCGGGCATTTTCTACCGCCTGGCAACCCTCGTGGTGAAAACAAAGACCAAAAACTCGCAGAAAAACGGTACTTTGCGATGGTTGATGAGAGTCCCCTGAACAGTGTAACAAGATTAGCCCTACGTGTGTAACATATATGAATTTGGTTGTTCAGGATTACTTCAAAGTTGAGTTTGTGTTGTTTTCTCGAGTTTTCACCGGCTCCACTGGCGTTCCACAGCAGCGCACACAAAGCCCATAGAAATACGTGGTACAGTGGTGCGCGTCTTACATCGTAAGAACGTCCGTGACGTAGCTCCGCCCCCGAGGATATCTACAAATTCCAATACACCCAAATAATTATGATCTGAATGGTGTCCA